CCTCTGACATTATGGGCTTTCTTCCCATCATATGATTTTTGTTTATAGTCAGATCAATTTAGACAATAAAATAAAATTATGTAATAATTAAATAAGAGTATGTTTTTTATATTAGAGACATTTTTTTTACTTAATAATTTTTGTTTTATAATTTAATATAGTTGGATTATAAAACATGATTTTCATAATATAAATATAATAATTTGCAATATTGTATGATTGATTTTTTATTAAAAATTTACTTATAACATTTTATATATTTACTCATTAAATTTTACATTAAAATTACAAATTCATAATTTTACATAATATTATAATTATATAATTGCTGGTTAACCTTTCATGATGTACTGGAAAATCTAAATTTAGATCTAGTCTTAGTAACAACAAGATTTGGCCTCAAACATGTGTAGAACCTAGACATGAAGCGTTTCGTGGAATCGGAATTCAAGCATGGGATCCCGCAAGTTGCGAATATGGCCTGAAGCGTTTGTTGCGATTACAAGAAGCATCCCACTAGTAATTCTGCTTGTTTAGAAAAGATTAATCGAGTCCTGGGCGGAAGCTGGAGCCGTACGGCAGGCAGCAAGCTTTTTGCATCCCTACCCACCACTACCAAACAAGAAGCTAGAAGACACAAATTTCCCGTAGTAACAGTTCCATATAAAATAAGAAAAATATTATTATAATGCTTCAAGAAAGCTACTCTTTAGTGACCAAGGATCTATTGGTGCCTCCAGCGAAAACTCGGACAATTGGAAAACAGCACCAATCCTCTCTGTCCAAACCACCATAAGGAATTCTCAAGGTTAATGTGGATGCTGCTTTTTCACCAAGTATGGGGTCTGCTGCTCTAGCTATGGTACGCCGTAATCAAAGGGGGAAATTTGCTGTGGAAATGTTTGGTTTTATTTTGCATTATCTCCATTTATGGCTGAGGCACTAGCTTTGCTTAGAGCTGCCCAGTTTGCTGCAAGCATGGGATTTCAATCTGTAATTTTTGAATTAGACAACCAGGTTCTAATATCATGCATCGAACAACCGTATAAACCTGTACCATGGGAGGCTAAAACTCTCATTATAAGTTGTAGACAGGTATGGAAAGACCATTCTGGTTTTATCTCCTCTTTTGTGCCACGGGATGGTAACAAAGTTGCAGATTGGGTGGCTAGATCAGCACTTAAAGGACAATGTCCCTTATACTGGGCGCATAAACCTCCTAATGTACTGATGTCATTACTTATTATGGATGGCTTGTCTACCTAATGTACGTTACACTTTATAGTTTATACATATAAATTCCATCTTTCCTCAATATATATATATATATATATATTATTTAAATTACGCTGACCAATAATGCTATAATTACATGGTGTGGATCACTGGGTAAGGGATGGTGGGGGTATTGCATTGAAATTTAAACAAGATAATTCAATTGAAGAAAAAGGGAAATAAATAAATAAATAAATATATATATATATATATATATATAGAAAAAAGGAGGGTCAAAGCAATCTATGATAATCCAAACATGTGAACAACACCAAACAATGTTTTTAATGAAATGAGACCATACATCTCTTTATTTTACAAGAAATAGAAGCAAAGAATTCCTTTGGATCGACGTGAGTGTTTCTTTCACCTACAGTGAATCCCAAGGAAAAGGTATTTTGAATTCTATGAGGAAATATGTTAAGCATGCTTGCAAGGAGGAAGAGGAGCACCACACAAACCAGAATTATTCTTGAATGCAGATGCGGGGATAATGGCTGTGTGTGGAGGAATCATGCCACTTAGATTATTATTTGAAACATCAAACTGAGTCAATCCTGTTAAATTCAATAGATTTCCTGGGATAGCACCGCTTAGCTTGTTCCTTGCAAGCAAAATTGTTGTCAATTCATTGGCATTACCTAGCTCTGCTGGTATAGCCCCTGACAGTCCATCATTCTCCATCTCCAACACCTGCAACTGACCCAGTTTCCCTAACGAATTTGGTATTGATCCTCCCAATGGATTGTGTGAGAGGATAAGTGATGTAATAGAATCCATTGCAGGTTTCACTCCAATGTTGGCATCAATAGGACCACTGAAATAGTTGTTAGAAACATCGATGGAGTTGAAATGGCCAAGTGAGTCTTCTGTTTTCTTGGAGAAAATTATATCAAGGTGACCTGAGAACTTGTTTGAATGGAGATCAAGATCCGAAAGAAGCAAAAGGTTGTTGAATTCAGCTGGGATTGATGAGTGGAAACCATTGTTTGACAAATTGAGAAAAGAAAGG